GTATTTGTTCTGACAATACCCAGAAACTTAGAGTTTCCATTTTATTCAGGAATATGTGGTCAAAATAGGAAGCTTGCAGAACTATGAGTAACAAGAGAAATATTAATGGTATTTAAATACTGTTAAATACTGGTATTTAACAAACAATAATGTGTTGCCTTGCTGCACATTTAATATCTCCACTTTACAACAAGGATTGACCCTTGGATTGCCTGGTCTAAAGCTGCTTTGCTGCCCCTATACAATACTGTCTCTGCTTTTGTCTGGTTCCTAAGTCTCACTTCTATGATGAAAATGTGTTCCTCCCTTGAAGAAGCTCATCTAAAAATTGAAACACAACAGTTACTGTTTTAAAAAACTGCTATAAACCAATTGTGAGCCCATGTGGTAGAAAAGAGATATAAATCAAATCAATCATTGTTTGATACAGTATGTTCATGAATAGATCATGATGCAGATAGATAACATGAGTTACAATTAAGATATACGAGCATCTAAAAGTATTTAAAGATACTTGGGTAGTATGTAAAGTAGCATGTGGGTTACACAACTGAAGTAATAACATTAGCACTAAGATCTATATATCTTGATCCTAAACACCATTAAAAGCAGGTTCTACTAATCTAAATGTATTTCCCAATCACAGAACCTAAGAAAACTCATCTGAATGCAGCAAGAAAGAAGAAAGCAAGTCAGCTGGAATGAATTTGTTTACGTTTCATAAAAGCAATTTTTCCTAATCAATACGTTCTTACTGCTATCTTATTATTTCACCACATAATCAAGCTCCTTACTTTGTGATTATGAAAGGAATGATGAGGAGACATTGGATTTCATTTTTCTCCAGTCTGAAAACACCTTACAGCATATGAATATTCTTTTGTATGGCTTTTAAAACTCTGTTTTTAAACAATAATTTTATCACCAAAAGAGCTAAACAGGAAATAATTAATGTTTTATACTGGAAATTTTATTTAAATATAGCAACACATTTCAAGAAATCATCTATTTCCACTATATGGGAATGTCCAACATTCAAAGCAGTAAACTATTTCTATTCAGTGTGTATATTTACTGCAGAATTCAAACAAATATTGGATTTTGTTTCAGGCTCAGAAATAGACCTTCACTTAGGGATACGGGAACCTGACAATTTCAAATTTAGTTTGTTAGTTCATTTCAGCCCATTTCTAAAATACTTTGCAACTTTGACCCTAAGAACTGGGATGGATAGATGGATGGATGTTCATGCACATAATACATCTATTTTTCTACGCATTTTTCTAGGTGGATATATTTTCTGAAAGTGATTTTCCTTAGTACATTTTTTATGAACTTTCTCTCCAACATATAATTTGTAAATGCACATTTCCTTAATATAAGCATATTGATAGCTGCCGTAGGTTTTGCTGAAATGTAGGATCAAGCTTTTAAATAAACATTGCACCTATGCCTCAGGCATTTTTACAAGAACATCCTCACATAACCAATCCTGCTAGTTTGAAGAGAATTAGTCTTATCAACGGAATTTTGTGACAAGCCAAAAAGCTGCATATAAGCACTGCTGAATTAAAAGGCTATGTAGGTATCTGCAACAAACATACATTCTTTTAAAGAACAACAGATAGCTTAATTATATTTAGAACAGACCTACTGACCTCAATGACTATACTGTTAGTAAAATAATTGGCATTAATAATTGTAACGTTCAAGGGGTAATATTTAAGTATGATATTGCTAAGCAAAAATTCTAAAAATAAGCCATATATTTAGTGATTTGTATTTCTCTACCAGTATCAGATCAGTAATTTTTATGCTGTGTCTATATATTACTTCATTCACAGAGGAACTTAAAGGATTGGGCCACAAAATCTCAGAATTAGAAAAAGAGAACAATATACTATTGTATCACCTCTATATTGGTAATACAGAGGAGTGCCACAAAAGAGAAAAGCATATTCCAATTAGTTTTAAAGATATTTTGTTATTAATCTGTGTATGATGTTCCATTAGATTTTGAAGAGCTATATTTAGAGTATAATTAACTTGCTTTTATAAGACAAGGTATGTGGCAAGAGTAGAACTAAGGATGGGAATCTTATTCATCTTACTAAAAAGTGTTATAAGAAAGCATTACATGAAGGCAATTAAAAGCTAGCAGGAAAGGGGGGAAAAACTTAATTAAGAACACTGTAAGCCTGTCAATCAAATATGCCCTTTGCACTTTGATCTACTTAAACACATGTCACCTTGACCTATAACATACCAATAAATGTTTTTGGTCAATATAAATCAAGTGCAAATTAATTTATTCAGATAGTTTCCTCATACTGGACTCAACATTAGAAATCTAACTAGTATTTGCTTTTCTGTCATTGGCAAAAGAAGCATACTTAAATGATAACAAGTGCTCATGGGTGTCATTTTAAAGTTAAATTGCTCCCCAAGGATATGTTCACAAAATGTCTACATTTAAAGGTTATTCACTACCAAATTATGAACAACTGTTGCATTTTTAAGCAGAGAAATCAATAGTTTGGAGATCCACTCATCAATTTAAAGTGTTAGTAAAAAGTTTAAATGTTGACTAGTATGAATTGAAGAAAACGTATCAATGAACAATCTTGCCACATACAGTATCTATTTAATTTCCTTAGAAAGTCTGAATAAAATCCCACTGTCAAATGAAAAGGCACTAAAACCAATTCTCTAAAAAGTTATATTGCTGTCAAATCTTATACTGTATATAATTTTGTTTTTACATCTTGGTTTAAATCTAATTACTAAACGATGATAGATAAAGGATAGCATGAACTGGGATGAAGTCTTAAAATGGTCCCTACACTCAAAACCTAATTAAAGTACTGCTCAGTATAACACAAACAAAAACGAGATGAGAGAGTTGAATCCATGTTACTAAATTTGGAAAATATTTAACTGTACAATGTGCTTTTCCTGTAAATTTGGTTTCTACTCAAGAGAATCAGCCAATAGGTAAACTATTTCTTAACCTTAGTACTTAGTTTGGACTAGTTCTGATATGGTACAAGTCCTCTGTTTAAAAATCTACCACTCATAGAAATGTTAATGTCAGGTAGAAAGGAATTTACCAATTACACCCTTCTTTCTGTCATTTGATGGGGTAGTTTATGTTACTTTATTTTTATGAAAAATTATCTTACCCTTCTATCACAAGAGCTAACAACAATTGAAACCAGTACAAAATTAAAAATGTGTAGGGAAAAAAAATACAGTAAGATTTTCTTATAAAAGCAGCCAAACACAGTAGAAAACAATCAAATGAAATTTACACTTTATGAGAAACAAATGTCTTCCTAAATAGTAGGGCTATGACCATGAGATGGCAGCCAAAAGATATAGAAAACTCTTAACTCTTTCATGCCACTTGTGGTTATCTGGATTTTGTAGTCCAGATCTGGTAGCCTTATAAATAGGAAGTTCTTAACCAACTGGCAAAAGACCATGGGAGAAAGTTTTGGCCTGGCTTCCTGGAGCAGAGAGTTCCAGAGTTTAAGTGCAGCCACTGAGTACCCCTTTCTATTCTCTTTATCAGTTATGCCTCTGCCAAGAGAAGGGACTCTCCAATAGATTTTAGGGGGCAGGATAATAAATAAAATTTAGGGAATATAATATGAAAGAAAGTGATCCTAAGCTATCCTAGAACTAAAGATTTAAAGGTAACCACTAATTTTGAACTGTGCCCTAAATCAGGCATAGTGATCTAGAGAGGAGGCGCAGTAATCAGTGGAGTTGTATAACATGGTTCCATCTCAAATACCCACCTACCAGCATTCTTCTTCTAGACCAGCAGCAGTTTCCAAAAAGAAACCCCAAGTAAAGCAGGTTGCACTAATCCAGTTTAAATTTAGCTAAGGCAAGAGGCAGGTCTAATTCTTCAGGAATGGATGCACACAGCGCATCACTGCCTTATGTAGGGTAAAGCTGAGTCAATTCCCATTGCAGCCTCCTGACAAGAAACACTTCTATCTTGTTTGAATTATGTCTCAGATTTAACTAATCTTCTTTATGCATGAGTGAGAAATCAGTGATTTCTCCCCTTCCCATTTAAAACAGGATCCAGCAACATCTTGGCTTTAGCATCAGCTCACATATTACAGAGAGAAGTACTGTAAAGGATAGAACTTAACTCTGATTTTGGTGAATTAGCAGGGAATATTAGAACAGCTTCCTCTACATTTAACACATGACTTGAGAGGAACCACCCAGCAGAATTTGTATTTGTTACTTGGAAGTTGGCAGGAATGGATGTTGGACAACAGAATTTAATAATTAAGCTACAAGTAAAGTAACTCCCTAAATGTTTCACACCAGTAGAATCCAGCCACTGCTTCTTCGCGTCTTCACAGAGGAACAGCTGCAGCTTTCAGACACAGGCACTGCATGGGGCAGGAGCCAGAAATATCAGGCCACAGTTCAATTAGTACATTTCGGCAGACTCCAGACAAAGGAAAAAGCATATCATAAAAGCAGTTTGTATCTGCTGTGGTACATGCTCTCTTTTGTATTATGGGTGTCGTGTATGTGTTGCGTTATGTATTCTCTAAGGAACATTTCACACATGCTCGGGTATAAATTGTCTTAAGACCCAGAATTTTTATCAAGAACAAAATCTGATCCATATCTTCCAACATAGCCCACTTAGAATCTAGCTACCCTCAGGTCTTCATGTAACTATGTAACAACGAACAGGTATGTAATGAGCTGTTCAAATGGCAACCCAACCACTTACTACACTCTAACCAAAAGAAGTTTCGTACTAAAATCTCTCGACCTCTTCTCGGCGACTCGGCTCGGTACAGGAGCCCAACGCATCACTACTGCAAAGCCGTCCTATTTCGGATCACTGCCTTGGCGCTCTCCTTCTGGAGAAGGCAAGCAACGCCCGGCCCCGAGCTGTACCAACCCCTCCTAGGCGGGGGGGAGGGAGTTAATAGCTTCTTCGCTTGCCCACCACTCACCGTGTAGCCTCTCTCCAATTCGCTCTCCTCATAGCGGAACGAAGGAATAAAAACCTCCATGGTACGGTCGGTGCGCGAGCGCAGCCCCTGGATGGAAGCGCCACGGTGGGAGGAGGGGCATTCGCGGGAGGATTGGCAAGGGAAGCTTTACGGCCCCTGGGCAGCGCAAAGCCTGGCGGAAGGAGCCGTGGGCCAGTGAAAATCACATGACTAGCGGGGGCAACCTTTTCTCTATCTCTATGGGAACAGCAGTCTCCCGCTCTTCCCCCACGTGATTCCTGGTGCAAGATGGACTGGGAAAGGGAAACAGCGGGAGGGAGAGAGGGAGGGGCTGCCTCCGCAACTTCCACTTCTCCTGCTCTTGGGCGATAGGGAGGGCGTTCGTTGCCTTTCTCTAAGCGCCAGTGGGACCGCCTTGCGGAAATGTTATCTTTGCCTCTACTGCAGGCTGCAGCAGGGAGCCAAGACCAACAGTTGCTAAAAGCAGGGCAAGTGTATTCATCATTTTACTAATAAGGCGGTTGAGGTAATGTTGCGTAAGGACAGCCCCTAAGCCCCCCGCCCGTGTAATTGTAGGTTGACGCATTAGGCTGTACTGAAGAAAGGGAACGCCTTTTTTGGAATGCGCAATCTGAAATGTCACCCAATAGTGTAATATGCAGGGTGGACCGTAAGCAAAAGAAGAAAGAAAGAAAACATTTTGGCTGCAAGTTGTATAATAAAATGCAGATTTTGTTACGCAGACGTCAACTGCTAGATTGCAAAAGATGCGCTCTTGACATGCTTAAAATGCGACTCATCGACTCATTGCGCTCATACTGTTTGCTGCCTCCTGTTTGCCTGAGGTCAAATATTGCTTCATCTAAGGAGATGAAACCCTTCCCCCCTACCCGTACAAATGGCTAATTCTGTGTCATGATATAAAGCTAAATGCATATGAAATAGGATACACAAGGTGCTTCCAGGTGTGTACAATCTGTAAAAGAAAGTTGAAATGCTTCTTGTGCTGCTGTAGACAGTATTACTGTAGGAGAAAACATAACTGGCAAGATTTTATAAACAGAATACTTTAATGGCCAAGTATAAAATATATACAGGAATTTATCTTCGGTGAAAAAACAAACAGCAAGAGCCACAGTGTGTTTGGATAACAGCAGAAAGAAGGAATGATAATAAGCAGTAACCCAACACAATAGAAAAAGGGCCCCGCCATGGGCCGACATCTGTTCATTTTCGAAAGGAGAAGCCACTGTCCAGTGCATATCTTATCATGTAGTGTTTAGCAGAGCAATGGCACGAGGGAAAAAACTGTTCCGGTGTCTAGATGTTTTAACATACGGTGCTCTGTAGCGCCGTCCTG